ATTGATAATTATATGTTATGTCTATTTGGTGAATTATATGAATGTGTTTGCTATTGGCTAAAATATATTTATGTGTTTGAGTGTTAATTTATGCATCATGTCATTTATATGGATGTGTGGAAATGAGAACAACTTATTGAAGAAAAATCATAATGTTATAGGTACAAATAGAGGGGATGCTAATTATGTAGAGAATGATGAGTTTACGGACAACGGTGTTTCGATTGAGTAAATCTTTAAGTCGTTATGACAACAACAAGAATTGATGTAGTAGCAACAACAAAGGTATGATGAGCAAATAAGAATTTTGATGGTTATGTAATAAAAACAAGCGAGTAGTGAGGTTACAATAATGAGTTGATACGATTGAGCGATTTTGCAAGTCGTCAATCTAAAGGAATTTTTGGGCAAACTAGATTCTATAGTTATCAAGGAATGAATAAAGTCGTTGGAGATGATCTTTGATCACATGAAAATGGAGGATATAGACGAGTATCTTGTGTCATCTTTATGTTGGTTAGTGATGTACAGATATGATGGGAGTCAACGAAAATTTCTTTAGATGTGTACAACCTCGTATGAGTATAATTCAAAGAGGTTTTTAATGAAAAGTATTTTTTCAATAGTGTAAATTCAAAAAAAAAATACAAGAGTTTATGAAATTGGAGCAAGAGATATGTCCGTGGTCGAGTATGTTCGGAGGTTCAAGCATAGATACCGATTTGTATCTTTATTTTAGGTAATGCTACATAGGAGAAAGGTCATTTTCTAAGGGGTTTGAAACCAAAAGTGTGAAGCCTAGTGCGAGTGTTGATAGAAAATTATAGCTATATGGTTAGTAAGACACAAAAGATAAAAAAAAAGACCATAAAAAGCTGGCAAGATCGTAGCGAGCTAAACAATTGTATATTGCAAACGACTTCAATGAAAAAGTTACAAAACAAAATCGGTTTGCGAAAACATGGTCGAATAGTGCTAAGAAGGCTAAAACTTCCGAGGTGCAACAAAGGATTAAAGTATAAAGCAACCCAAATTATGTCAAGTATGGTCGATTGGACTTCAAGAATTATTTGGTGGGTATCAATGTTTGGTACTATTGTAAAAAGGTTAGGCACTTAACAAAGATTATCAAAAGAAGAAGAAGCTCATACTAAAAATACTAGAGAGAGTATACATGATGATGCTAGAACAAGCCAAGCAAAGACTCACAACATAGGAAAGTTGAGTAAGTTAAATTTTGAGAATGAAATTTTTATAACGAGGAGAGGATATAATAATCACTACCTTGAACATACTTATGCATTTGTATATATATGTGTTCACTTGTTTAAAGTATGTGCATTTTTTTTTTATAGAAGTTATGTTTTGTGTTTGCATTGGCATTATACTTTACGTTTACTTTAATGATTATGCTTTATGAATACATTGGTGAATATTTGACTTTGTATGTACATGTTGCTAAGTATTATAAGTGTGTGGGTGACTAAGGAACTTTAATATGACAATGAAAAGAATGACGGCTTAAGTGGACTTAGTGATAAAGTAGAGTGATTAGTATATTAAGTTATGTAAACTTGGAGAACTAAAAAATATGGCTTAACCACATGTTCCATACATGTTATAAGTTAAAAATAAGTTTGGTTAGTAACTTATATACATGTATTAATCTAAAAAATATCATGACTAAGTGTTTCTTGTATAGAAAAATCTAGAAAAAATATCTAAGTTACTTAATACAATTGACAATCCTAAGCTTTCATTAACCTTTCTAAGTCAACCAAGAAGGAGATAAAAAAAAAAGATGAGTTACTAAGTTATTTTTGGAATATTTTATCTTAGAAAAACATAAAAATATAAGAGAAAAATTGATTTGTCTAGGAAGACAAACTTGGCTAAGAGGTAGACAGAGTGAGAGTTGGCTCGGATGAAGGAAAATTAAGTAAGCTTGGGTTAAGAGAAATAACAAGGAAGAATAAGGGATCTTTGTGAGCATTTATGGTGTTATTTATACTAGTTAAATTCCAAGTAAATGTAATCTCAACTACGTCACAAGACATAAATATTATAGGCTTTGGTATGTTTATGTGCTAGTTGATTTTAGTAAGTATTTGCTTGATAATTATTCACTTATGAAATCATGTTTAATTGATGTTATATCCATATGTTCACTTGATGATAATATGTGTAATTCAACTAATCACAAAACAAGTATGTTTATAATTTAGTGTTCATATACTTATTTGATGGATAAATATTTTAATAATATTTTTACTTGATAATTGAATACTTATGATGTTATATGATAGTTTAGGGTTTATGTGATATTTGATGATGCTTGGTTTGTATTTAGGTGTTTATGTAATGATTGAACATTGGGATTGTTACTTTATTGGTTTTGAATTTAATGTCATTACTTGATATTAGTTGATTATGTGTTCATGTGATTAATTAGTGATTAAACATATATTATTGATGAATTCGACTTATGACCATGCATAGTGAAAATTGGTTAAATATTCATGTATTCACTCGAGGATTGCTTGATAGATTCGACCAAGTGTTTACTTGAAGCGACTCGGTTATGCATCCATGTGTTTAATGGATGATTGGGCATTTGTTGTGTTTGTTGGTGATTTTAGTTATGTCATCGCCTAATGTTACATGGATGAGTGTTTATGTGATGATGAGAATACTTGATGAATTTGGGTCTATATGCTTATTTGAAGTTAATTGGTCGTTAGGTGTTACTTGAGGTCTTATATTTAGATTGCATTTATGTCACAAAAATGTGTTTATCATGTTTTATGCATTCAAAGAAAGTCAAGTGCATGATTTCAAGAAAGGTTTATGGCTAAACATGTTCATCACGGCAAGATAGTTTAGAAAGAGAATGATTAACTCTTTATGAGATTCACGAGCTTCACAATAATGTGTCTAAGTGTCGTTACAATTTTCACAATGATGCTTTTTATTGAGGGTTGAATTCATATGAATTCGACAAGGTGCACTCAAATCACAAAAAATGTATTTCAAAGTCATGAAAATGAATTTACTTACATTTATGCATGATTATACTTACCGAGAATTAGCTTACCAAATGTCTTGTGATGTAGATGAACAAAGTGAAGCATTATGGCTTATTATGAAATGGAAGATGTTATCATGAGGAGCCAAATTTGTCAAGTGCATACTATATATGTATGGGTTAAAGTCGAAGGTTAAGCACTACCTAGGTTCGGACACTTTATGTTTGTATGTTGGCTATTTTGGTTTGTAATCTTATGTCACATTTTAACTAATTAGATATGTTAATGTAAAAATGTGTTTTGATGGTTAATAAAATGGTTTTCAATTATGTTTTTAATATGTCAAAATAAAGAATTGCCTTGAATTTTAAATCAAAGGTTTATCGATGTGCATTGTAATTTATACACGAGGTAGTGGATATGAGACTCGGTGACTTGTATCCTATAAATGTGAGGCATTGTTGGTAAAAATTTTACCCATCTTTAGGTTGGGGGTCTTACACCATATCCCCGTGGTCTCCTTTCTCAACACATGTCCAAGTTAAGGGTTCTCAATATCTTCTCACCACCTAACTCGAGGGGGAGTGTAACAACTATGTCAACTCACAGGACAAATTAAGGTTTAAACTTTTGCTAATTTATTATAATTATAATTAATTTATTGTAAATCTTTAATTACGTTCATTATTGTATTAGTTGTAAATAACCATTTTTAGAGTACATTAATTAGGAGATTTTCTCATTGCAATCTCTATTTAAAGGCTAATTCTAGCTAAAAAAAACATTAATCATATTATTATTTTCTCCATAAAACATTATTTTCTTTACGATGATCCATACAAAGCTTGATCATAGATTAGTTATATATTTATACATAGTGATACAATTATATCATAAAGTTATGTGAAGTAAACTATAATTGTTATATCTTCAAAAAATGGATAAATATTATCAATTAATGAGATAAGTCGAGAAAGTATTTGGTTAAGATCAATAACTCATCATATCCAAGAGACATGTGATTTACCCATTAGCAAAGAAGTTCTAATAATATTAATATACGAAGATAGAGTTGTTTGCATAACTTAATTAAAACAAGGACATATCAAAGGTGACAAAACAAAATATACATCACCGGATTTATTTTTCACACATGATCTTTAATAGAATGATGATATTAATATTCATCAAATTCGATCAAGTGACAATCTATAAGATTTTATTCACCGAGACATTACCTACCACAATTTTTTAGTTTAAAGATTTGTCATAACCCATTTTAACCCCTTCGTTTACTTTTATACAAAAAATATTTTTCTTCTTTTGCATATTGCATAGTTTCTTAATTTTTCATGATTTTTAAGTATTTTTATAATTTTTTAGAATTTTAATTTCGTAGAATTATCCTCTAATTTTAATTAAATAAACAAAAAGAGACAGAGATGAGATTAATTAAAAAAGATTTGGAAAGTGAGAATTAAATAACATTTAATTAGGGAAGTAATTAGAAGAAAATAAAAAATTAAGTGGTCTTAATTGATAATGAATTAAGATAAAATACGAAAGAAATCAAGAGAATAAGGACTAAACAATTTCAATTAAGGGCTTGATTGGAGAAGAAATAATAAAATATACAATGAAATTGAAAGAAACGAACAAAAATAGGACTAGATTAGATTTTATCCCAGCCTCTAAAAAACCATATAAAATAAACTTTCTTCTCTCGTTAATTGTGTTGGGAAAAATTGTTCATCTTTCCAAATTACAAACTCTAGTCCTAACTTCTTGCCGACCTCCCCTCGCTACCACCCGATCAAGACAACCACCATTTTCCCCACCCATCACCACCACCAATAATACCCACTGTTGCCAAAACTTTACCCACCATACAGAACCACCAATCGTCCCCCTTCTTCACAATGCAGTTAAAATCATAAAGCCACCACATCATCCGAACCCCCGCCGACCAATCTTTCATCGATCTCCACCCATCATCGAATCGTCTTTACTAGCCCTACTCTCCAACATCTCAAAATTGACCTCGTGATCCATAACACCTAAATCCATTGCAACTACACCCATCAAGCCACCTTTCCTACAACACCCACTACCTTTCACCTCTTTTAGTTGTGAAACACTAGCCAAACCTTCACCATCACCTATAGTCCGTCATAAAAAAACCCTCAATTGCCTCAGCCACACTAGCCTACCTTACGACTACCATCACCCATAATTCTCCACGAAAAACCCAACTAGCCCAGACCTTCACATTTAATTATGAAACACCAATTCTTTAGAACATAACTCCTCCATAGAAACCACCAATTGTAACCTTTACCACTACAACCATTTTCACCACTATAACCCTCACCATAATAGCCACGTTCACCAAATGTCACTCTCTTTCCCAACCACTACTCCACGCCTAGTCAAAACATATAACCACCCCGAAACCCACTCCAAGAATAATAGCTCAAATCCTAAAAGTTTTAATTTAGACCAAAAAATTGTAGTTTTAGGCTTGGATTTGGATTCTCCTTGTTTAATTGTTGTTATAGATTGAGGATTGAACAAAAACAAGGATCGAAAACCCACGATAGCTTTGCAATCGACAACCATCTTACCATTGGCAAGCCAATAGACACACAATAGGTGTAATTATGTCATTTTACACACCAAGGATAAATTTGTAATTTTTGACATCAAATGGCATTTTGATAATTTTGCCAATCCAAAGGTAAAATTGGTATTTTTGAAGTAACCTAAGGTAATCTAGTCATTTGGGATTGTTTTTGGGATGTTTTTCAAATTGTTTTTGTATTTTAATTTTTTTTTAGCATGCTTGAGTTAAATAAATGTTTGAATGTGGTGTGATGGATTGAAGTGTATTTAGGTATGCCATTGCATATCGAGCTCGAAAGGGTCCAAGACCACTAGGATATTGATGTAAAACAAGGATGATTCAATGCTATGCAATTAAGTTGAAAAGATGAGTTGTGCATTTAAGTGCGTCATTGTGTTTTACATGGATTATCCGGGATAAGTGCTGATCCCTAATATGTTGCAAGTTAATTAATTGATTGAGTTATTTGTATTATTATTTTTTTGAAAATGCTTTAAATTTGATTTAATTGAATAATTAATGGATTGAATTATGTTTGCTATGATTGTTTGGAATGCCGGATATCCTATTTAACTCGAATGTGTTATTTTTTATTTATTTAAATGCTTGTTAATGCTAGTTTGCTTTAAAAAAATGATGAGTTAAGTTATGCTATTTTTATTCATTCAACGTAAATATTTTTAGTTAATTAGGTCATTTATTGACATGACAATCATTTTAGGATTTTAATCGGATTTGATACTAAATTAACAAGACTTCTAAATTTTAGGACTCAACATTAATTTAATATAATACCGCAAATAAAATAAAAAAATTGAAAACATTTTTTTTCGCATGCCTCCAAATAAAACACTTTCGGTTTAATTAGGTTGTTTCTCAACATGCCAATCGTGTTAGGATTTCAATTGGATTTGATGTTAAATTGACGAGACTCTCAAATTTTAGGGCTAGACATTAATTTAATTTAATATGACATCATAAACAAAACATAAAAATCAATTTGACTTAGATAATAAATAGACGTAGGAAATAATATGGCAAAATAAATTCTTAGGAGATATATTTTAAAATTAAACTAGACGTGATACCTTTTCTCGAAAAATGTGTCTTTGGACGATCGATATCTTCTCGAGGGCAATAACCGACTCTTTACTCCGTAATCTCTAAATCCGAGTACCTTTTTTAGGTTCTTAGTTACCTTTAATACTAGGTAGCTACTCCAAACCTTTTTATTAATTCCTTTTCCCTTTACGGACATTTAAAATTTTAAAAGTCCCTCGAAAGTCGGATAACGTCAAGATTCACGGGGTTATGATACATTGTCCGAAAGATCTTAAACAATATATCTTCAACGGGGTGAGCTCAATATGAAGATTAATGTGTAAAAGAAAATGTTATACTCTTTTTTTCATTACAATTTTTTATGCACTAGGTTTTTTTCTAATAAAGTTTTAACGAAGCATATTCTTTATACGATGAATATTTAAGAAAGAATATTATGAAATAATAAATGTTTAAAATGAACATCTATAATCATTCTTAATTTTCATAACTATTAATATTTTTTTAGTGTAATTTAATTCTTCATTATCATACATGAATGTATTTATTCCCCATCATATTTCATAATGAAATTCAATTCACCATTATCATACATGAATTTATTTATTCTATAATAAATTTAAAATTTAAAATTTTGTGTAATATTTTTTATAAATAAATATATTAAGTAAATAAATAATAGAACTCATTTTTCTATAATTTTTGTGTATCTATTCTCTATTAAATTTATAACTTAAAATATTGTTATGCATATTATTGCTATGTACTCGAGCCATCTCCATTTTGGGTTGGGCTGGAAATGGGTAGAACAAGTTTTAAGTTAAATTGGTTCATATCCGGGCCGGTCCCTGGTCCATTGCCAACTCTAGTCTTGTTTTATTGCTTCCCGTCTTTTGCTTTTACTGTTCTCATCTGTCATTCTCAACTCTTCCTTCCCCATGGCTTCTTCAAGCTCTGGAAACTCAATTCCTGCATCAGGTAGTCACCTTCTTCGATTACTTCATTTTACCAATTTCTCAAATCATTCAATTTTTTTGTTTGCTTTGCAGAGGCTGTTCAGGTTTTGGTCTCTTCTCTGGCAGATGAATCCCCTATTGTTCGGCAGTCCTCCATGGCTTCTCTCAAGGACATCGCCACCTTGTAATACACTTCTCTCTGTGTATAATGATGATTATAATGATGTTTGTCTATTTATCAATTGAGCTATTTACGTTGATGAGTGTCTAATTCTAGGAATCCGCTTCTGGTTCTTGATTGTTGCTATGCGGTTTCTCGAGGCGGACGCCGAGTACGAATACTGCTACTCTCTTTCACTTTCACCTTTTTTTTTAATCTGGAATTTAGAATTTGAAGCGTGCCATTTTATTTATTCAATTTTTTATCAGCGATTTGGGAACTTGGCTGGGGTTTTTCAAGTGATGGCATTGGGAGTTAGTGCATTAAATGAAGGGGATGTTGATCCTTCTTTCATGGCAAAGCTTGCAAAGATTGCCACGGCAGAAATGATATCGTCTAAGGTGCAATACTTTTTTGTTTTTAGTTTTCTTTCGTCATTGGTTAGTTGGTGACATTTGCTGGACTTAATAATTTGTGACAGTGTTTTTGATAAGTGTACATTTTGTTGTTTGCTATTTTTTTTTTTTTTTTTTGTAAATAGTATGAAGTGAAGTTTCAATTAGTAATTTTTATTTTTTTATTTTTTTTCAAACGTAAAAATTGGTGGTACCTTGTGCTGAACTGAATTGCTAATTTTGTGGCAGAGCAGGCATGTTTAGAAGTTCAAATACTCCTAAAGAGGGGGAATAGATGATTTCTTTACTCACCACAAATAAAAATAAAGTGTGTCATCAGTTCATGAGTACAATTACAATCAGATAATCATCTCTGATTGATGGGTGAACTATAAGCTTAGCCATGTTCCAACTCTTGTTTGTTTGCAGTAAGCTCAGTGCATGTCATCAGCAAAACTGGCAAAGATGTTTTTGAATTAATTATAACAAGCATAGCTCTCTGGTGCCTGATTAAATGACCACATCATTAAGTGCCTGAGACCATTTCACTTTTTAATGATTTACTTTTGTTAAGAAGTGATGGTTGGTTTGCTGTCTTCTGCTGTTATATGATGGCTGAGAGGAATTAAAAAAAGTTAATGAATCATTATACATCAAGCATCTTTAGGAGCTTGTTGTGTATGGGGAAAAGATGTTATTGATGATGTTTGGAAATGGTTTTATTAATATTGCTTTTGGATTTGGGAAGTAAAGCATTTCTGGTTTTTTTATGCAATTTTTATATCAGTTCAGCTAACTTTCTTGACTTAACCCTTCTCCCTCTTTCCCATTGAGAGCTGAGGATGACCTTTTGGACTTTGAACTCACAGGCATGTTTCCCTGAGTATGCTGGTGTCCCATTTTGTTGATAATTCCTTATATCTACAATCACAATACATTCACGTGTAACATCTTATAATAATTTGGATTATCACAGCTGTCATTTTAGCATTTTGTGGTTGGTTGCTGTCTATTTTTTCACTTTTTATTTTTTTAGGCGTCACTTGTTTAATTATTGGAAAATCCACATAACATGCTTTATTATTCTTATTGAGGTAGGAACTCAATGCAGACTGGCAAAGGGCTGCATCAGGCCTACTGGTTTCAATTGGCTCACATTTGCCTGACCTTGTAAGTTTCTTGCTTTTGTTGCTGAATCTTAGTTTTCTGTTCCCTTTTGTTCTCTTTTGTTCTCTTTTTTATGTTCTTTGCTGAATCTGATTTATCTTTGGTTTGATAATTCTTGCTTATCTTGATTTGGCAGATGATAGAAGAAATTTTTCTTCATTTGTCAGGGTCGAGTTCAGCTTTGCCAGTTATGGTTCAAATACTTGCAGACTTTGCTTCTGCTAATGGTTAGTATCTAACTTAAATGCACTTAATGTTTGGTTTAGCTTCCTAGGATGCTTTTGGATAGTTGCAGTTTGGCTACATAAACTGAAGTGTGTTTTCTTTTCAATTAATTGAAGCTGTACAGTTCATTCCACGACTGAAACGTGTGCTTTCCAAAGTTTTACCTATTCTTGGAAATGTGCGAGATGTCCATCGGCCAATATTTGCGAATGGTATGGCCATTTTAAGTGTTTTGTTAGGTTCATTTAAAAGGAAGTTGAAACTATCTAAAGCCAGGATCAGAGAGTTTATGAGAATAACCTCATATCCTGGCCTAAGGTTTGTTGTTAAGTATTTGAAAATTGGAATGCTGTTTGTTTATTCCTTCGTTTCTCTTTACACATTTAGGTTCTGCTTCTAATATATCTCTGATAATTAGTGGATAGGATTGGACTGTAAAACCCATATCTGCCTGATGCTATTATGATGCATTGGATGATCTACGTCTATCAGGTCAAACTAATAAAACAGCACAATTTTGTCTAATATTTTTTGGGCTTAGTGAATTTATTTTGGCTGTTTATAAAATATGAACAGAGAATGAAAATTTTGGTATGGCTGCCCTTTTATTTAGTTCTGTTTGTTTAGTCCTCAGAACAATAAATAGATTTCATCAATTTTTTAAAATTAATTTTACAGTTTTTTGTCTCATCATTGCACCCATTTCCCCTGTCAAATATGATGAAGAATCTTATGTGATTGGGTATGCTGGATGTACTAGCTAGAGTGACTGAATGAGTCTGGTGAAGTGTGGTTTGCCTAACCTTGAACTTACATCTTAGGCATTCTTGCAGGGTCTTTTCATTTTAGATTGTTTCATATTTTCTCTCTTTATCTGATTGTCAATACCCAACTGATTATGTTGTATTCTGTTCTTTTGCAGCCTTTAGATGTTGGTGTCAGGCTGCTTGTCAATATAACATGGATTTCCCCTCACATTCTCCTCTTGATTCTGATGTCATGTAAGATCAAGATCCATTTTACTGTTTCTTTTCCAACATATCCTCACAGCATCATGTGTAAGAAAAAATTGCCATTTAGCGCAGGTCTTTTCTAAATCCTGCTTTTGAGCTTTTATTGAGGGCATGGGCAACTTCAAGGGATCTTAAGGTTTGTAAAATATTCCTTTTATATTATTTCATTTTTCTTATCGGTTATGGCCTGCAGTTACATCTTTGTTTGACGTAACTGCACCTTTAGCATTGTTTTGTTATTTCACCTCGTATTTAGTCAGTTATCTTCCTTTGAACAAAACATAACGTCTTCTCAAAACTTTAGCAATGCCAGATTGGTAAACTGTTGCTGTACTGATGATGATCTTGCTTCTCAATTTGAGATTTAAGATATGTAACCTTAGGAAGAACTCCACCTGAGGTGAATTAGCACATCTTGCTTCATATATTTGAAATCTTTATGTTTCAAGCACTGAAGAACTGGTATTGCTCAGAAACAGAAGCGGATACCACAGCACTAAAAACTGTTTGCATTTCTGATTATTGGTTTTTACCGTTCCAATTTTAAACAGTTGTGTCATTGCATCCTGTGTGTTGTTTTTTTGTAGACTGTTGCATCAAATTTTATTTTTACTAGGTTTGTAGCATTTGTATATATACTGGACAAAGGCTGCGTGCAAGTTCCTATATACAAAATACTGTTAGCTTACTTAGTAATTGGTTTCTGATTTTTTTCGAAATATTAGAAGTTTTGGTAATCTCACCCTTTGTGCTTGTGTGTGCTGTAAGTTTGGGTTTATAGCATTTTAAGCATTTCTTTTCTGTTCAGTTTTCATTTCTATTCAATGTTTGACTTATTTCCTATTTGTGATAGGTTCGTATGTCCTCTGTGGAAGCATTGGGCCAGATGGTTGGTCTTATAACCCGGACACAACTAAAGGCAGCTTTACCCAGGCTTGTCCCTACTATACTGGAATTGTAAGATCAATATAATCTAATGCTTTTAGTCAATTTTTATGCCATTTGCCAAAATTTGTTTAACATTTTATTTCGTACAAAGTATTTTTGAATAGCCAATTTGCTCAGGAACCAGTTAGTTTGCTTCTTTGTACAGATGTAGGCACTGACAAGGATCATATAATGCTTCTTTTTCTAATCAGGTATAAAAAAGATCAAGATATTGCCCTTCTTGCAACATGTAGTCTTCACAATCTCTTAAATGCCTTGTTACTGTCAGAAACTGGTCCACCGTTGCTTGATTTTGAGGTAATTACACATTTTTGTTGTCTGTTATGCTCAGTTATCAATATTGCTGCTTCCTCATCCCCAAGCACTTTGTCACTATGGACTGACAAAACCAACTTGAATCTCTGCTTGTAATTCCTGTGACTTCCAAATTTCCTTATTTTAATGATTCCATGAAAGTAGATTTTGCGAAGGTGCACAAATATCATACTTCTAATAATGGAACTGGCTAAATACTTGGGGAGGCATGAAAATGGGAAGGGCGTACAAAAATATGGGTGCAAACTGTGTGTTATATTTGTTTTTGCACAAAATTTCATGTGCTCATTGGCACAAAAGTTACTACCATTTGTTAGTCAATTATTTGAATTTAGAAAAAAATTGTAATGCTGCGATTAATATCCTTTCCTTCCTAATGTTGTGATATTGAGTGCCATTTCATGTTACACATTGCAGGACCTCACAGTTATTCTATCAACACTTCTTCCGGTTGTTTGCATTAATAATGATATCAAAGAGAATTCAGATTTTTCAGTGGGACTGAAGGTGTAAATTCTGGCAACACTTTCTGCAAGTTGTTGATTATTAGAATATTTGAAATTCCTTTATTTTTTTTTCTTCCTTTTCATTAGCTTCCATTATCTCCTGATTTAATTTTTCTTTCTCGTTTCATCTTCCCCTTGTTGCAGACCTATAATGAAGTTCAACGTTGTTTTCTAATAGTTGGCTTGGTATACCCAGATGATCTGTTTACATTCCTCTTAAATGTAAGTACAGTGCCATGCTAGATTGTTTAGCAAGATTGAGCTCACATTATGATTTTTTGTTATCTTAATGGATCTATTAGGTGCTTTGTTTCAGTAGTAGTACTGAGCTACATCTTATACTTTGATGTGTAACTTATTGTAGTTTTGAATTTTCTGCTGCCAGAAATGCCGGTTGAGGGAAGAGTCTTTGACTTTTGGTGCTCTGTGTGTTTTAAAGCATCTCTTGCCGAGGTTTTTTCTGCATCTGTAATTTGAATTTGCTTCTCTTCATGTTCTATTTGACCTAAGCTGTATTTGTTTTCACTTGGAGGTCGTCTGAAGCTTGGCATAGTAAAAGGCCTTTGCTTGTTGAAGCTGTAAAATCCTTGCTAGATGAGCAAAATTTAGGTGTCAAGAAGGCTTTGTCAGAGGTACATTGTCTTCGACTGACAGATCTTATGGTTCTTAAACTATTCATAAATCACCACTGCCTTACTTTTCCTAATTTACAATTATGTTATTTTGGTGGCAGTTGATTGTAGTAATGGCCTCACACTGCTATTTAGTTGGTCCGTCTGCGGAGTTATTCATTGAATACCTCGTTCGTCATTGTGCTCTATTAGATCACAATAGAAATGATCCTGAGAACTCTAAGGTAGGCTCTAGCTCAATTGTGCTTCAATTTTTGCAGGTTCATAGTTGACTTAATTAAATAATAAAGAATATTGACTTGACTTAATCAAACAAAAAGATTTTCTAAATTAAAAAGATTCTATGCTAAGATTTTGGTGGGCTTAATGATGCTGACTTACCAGAATAATGAATGAATCATGTATTTCTTGCATTTTTTATAGCTCAACTAGATTCATTTCGTAGCAATCCAGACATCGCTTAAGACTAATGCCAGATGTTATCTTTGAGTACTAAAATTATTGCTCAAATATAATCGTTATGTATGCATCGTCATGGTTTTGTCCTGGGTTATTTTTTTCTCAGGTGAAGATAGGAGCCTTTTGTCCTATCCAGTTAAGAGCTGTATGTGAGAAAGGTCTTCTTCTGCTAACTATTACAATTCCTGAAATGGAGGTATACAAAGAGTTTCTTTTCTACACTTGTTAACTATTTGATTCGTATTTTAGGCCATCCTGTTAGACCACACTCGTGGTGTTGTTGGTTTCTTGAGTTCATAATCCCATGAAATTCACGTCTTAATTTCCTGCAGCATATTCTATGGCCTTTTCTGTTGAAGATGATTATTCCACGGGTTTACACCGGCGCTGCTGCAACCGTAGGTTCTTTCATTATGTAAATCTATCTTACCATATTGTGCATGGAGATTATTTAAAGGGTAAATTACAATAAACCCCAGAACGTAAATTACAAGATAGGGACTACCCAAAAGTTACGAAATCTGACAAAAACCCCTCCACATCTGAGAAATTACCACAAAACTTCCTTGAAGCCCACAATGCCCCATTTATATCAAAATTGCCCTTGTAAGGTTTAAAACTTCCTTTTGTTTAAAAAAATGTCTTTTTTTTTCTTTTCTTTTTTTAAATAATCCATTAGGGTAATAAATGTACTGTTTTGAAACTAATTAACTTATTAACATTCAATGTAGAAACCCATAGCCCCCTACAAATATATATATATCTGCATGCATCATTTTTTTAGATCTAAAATAGCTAGAATGTAAGCAAAAACTAAAATTGAACTCAATAAGGGCATTTTTGGTATAAATGGAGACATGTTTGTTACAAAGGTAGTATCTATAGTATTTTCTTAAATGTGGAAGGATTTCTGTCAAATTTCCTAACTTATGTGTATTGCATGTAATTTCAAGAGTGAGTTTATTCTAATTTACCCTTATTTAAATGCAAGGACTTGATTGTTTCTTCTAACACTTGCCTTAAGTTAATTCTGGTTTTGCTTGAGTGCAGTCCTGACTTATATTAAGATGGTCTTTGATTCTTAATTGAATTTCTGCATTGATTTGTAATAGAACTTGGAAGAAATTTTTTTACTCTGTTTTGCATGTATGCTAAAATCGCAGGTTTGCAGATGCATCTCAGAATTATGTAGAAACAGATCTTCTAATAGTAATAGCATGCTTAGTGAGTGCAAAGCTCGTGCTGATGTCCCAAGTCCAGAGGTAGATCTTTTCTAGTTACATGTTTATTTTGAATTTTCTTGCATGCTATATGAAAACAAATGTCAACCAACTATTTGGCATTCATCTATTCAGGAGCTTTTTGCTCGCTTGTTGGTGCTTTTGCATGATCCACTGGCAAGGGAGCAGCTGGCAACTCAGATTTTGACAGTAAGCATCCCTTATCTTTGATTAGGCAGACCATTTACTACAATAGCTGTTAATGGGGATGAAAAGGAAAATTTTGCTCTTACAATCTGCATTTGGCTCTCAATTTCAGGACAAATAGATAGAAATTTTCATTGTGATTTGTTAGGAATGGTTAGTTATTCAGCACATGCTTGTAGTTTTTGATAAAGAGTTCAAATTTCTTTGTTATTCAATGTCCACTCTCTTCTCTTTTGCTAGTGAGATTTGTGTTTTAAACAGTTTAAGCAAGCATGAAAAATAGGGGTCACAACTTTGGGGAATGAAGAGGAAATTCAGAGGTAAAAAGACAAGGGGATTGTAAATGGTTATTTTTTTGTCGTGGTCAGGATACAGAAGAGGGACTAACATGCACGCGCACACACACACACACACACACAGAGGCATTGAACTACTGATATTATAATGTTTAGGCTAGAAGGGTTTTGCAATTCTTTAAATTGTTGCTTATTTTGGCATTCCTGAGTGAAGGAATATCTGCTTTACTTTTCCTTTGCACGTGCAGGTCCTTTGTTATTTGGCACCTCTCTTCCCGAAGAATATCAACATGTTTTGGCAAGATGAGGTATACAATTGTGTTGTCATAATTGAATTAGAAATGGAAGCTTTAAGTCAGTGAATGAGTTAATATTAAATAAACCAATAATACATTTGGCTGGCAATACGTAGAATACAAAACAAGCTGTAACCATATTAGATAACAAGAATGAATATCTGAAAACTTAGGTAAAGCTGGGTTATTATCATATTACAGAACAAGAATGAACTTCGGAAACAGGCAAAGCTTGGTTAATTGTTTCTCATATTTTCTGCTACAGGGTGACATCCTAAGTAACATTCTATTTAATTCTATACCTTTCGACATTTGTCATAGATAACTTATTGAATTGGCTAAATGCCACTTTTAAGCAATCTATATTCCATTTTCTCAACCATTATGCTATGATGCATGAATCATGAAGAAATAATATGATTCTGCTGTGGAATCTAATGGATTCCTGTCTTTGGCAAGCTCTAGATTCCTAAAATGAAGGCTTATGTCGGTGACACGGAAGACCTAAAGCTGGATCCTTCATACCAAGAAACTTGGGATGACATGATAATCAATGTGAGATTCTTTTATTTGTAACTAATTCGTCTCGCTTCTTGTATTATCAGTATTGTTTTATTATGTTGTAGGAGGGGCAGTTTTTTTTTTTTTTTTTTGGTGGTGAAATCAAAGGCTTTCCATAGTAGCGGTTATCCACTAAAACCTCATTTTGGTTTTTGGTGACAGTTTCTTGCAGAATCTTTGGATGTGATTCAAGACACTGATTGGGTGATCTCTCTCGGAAATGCTTTCACATACCAATATGAGCTCTATACAACGGATGATGAACATTCTGCTCTTCTCCACAGGTATCAATGTTTTGAATCTCATATCTGGATTCTATAAAGCTGCACTGCAATAATCTTTCTTTCTTACTGTTCTCATGGGTGCATAAAGGAAGCTCTTTCAAAACCTCATTGAAGTTGTGAATGTTTGTTCAAATGTGATGCATGGGTTTTTTCATGGCAGTGGTAGCATTTGTTCATGCCAATCCCCGTGAAATTCAACTTTAAAATTTTTTAGCACACTATGCGATAATTATCTTGTCTTTCCTTTGATTCTTCATGAGCAGCGATGCCTCATTTTATGCCACTAGTACTTTACCTTCATTTGGCCTTGTGTACCATGAAAACCTTTTAGTTTTGGTTTGCAATTTAGTTTGGAAAATAAATACTTGCTGCCATCCTAAAAACTTCTTCAAAATACTTATCTTTCATCATAATGGAGAACTGTTTATAGTATGTCTGACCAATGGAATAATGTTTGTCCTAGTCAATAAGTGTAACCAATGTTTCTCTGCAGTATGGGATTTCTGCTTTGGCAAAGTTCTGCTGGATTACCAAATACATTAATACATTTCACTTTTAAGGATTATTTATGACATCCATCCATATGAAACTTATATCTTCAGCACTTCTCAGAAAAAAAACTCTATGACACAAGGAAGCCTGAATCGTCGTGAATACTGAAACTCGTTTGGATACTTCCTACCTATTTTCTGTGCTTTTTAATGCGTGCAACCTGGAAACAGAAGCCATTGATTTTACAAATGCATCTAATAGTTGGTTAATTTTGATGTATATAATTCAGATACACCTATGACATTTGCTTTGCTGAATGCAAAATATCGTGTTGAATGTGAGGTCTGTTTGTAGTGTAATTTCTTTGTTCCTATCCCAGGTGCCTTGGTATGCTTCTACAGAAAGTTGATGACAGGGCTTATGTTCGAAATAAAATTGATTGGATGTATAAACAAGCTAGCATTGCTATTCCAGCCAATAGGCTTGGTTTGGCAAAAGCCATGGGATTGGTATGTTGGATATTGGCACTTCTCAGTTTTTTTCTTTTTACTCAGAAGGTAAAATAATAAAATATCTTGGATACTCTGTTGCATTGATTGATTCCAGGTTGCAGCTTCTCACTTGGACACTGTGTTGGAAAAACTGAAAGAGATTCTGGATAATTTTGGGCAGAGTATTTTTCAAAGGTCTGTTTTTGGTTAAAAGATATAAAATGGCATGCATGCTAATTAAAACAAAAAATGAAAACAGACCTACAGACACCCACACCCACATCACCACTACCATCACCAATCACACAATGTGGTTATTTCAGCATCTTATCCTTCTCTATTTGGAAAGAAACCATCTTTCTGTTCAGGATATTCTTCCTTGCTGCTCCCTCTTGGATGTCACCTTGCTTCCACACCTTCCACATCTTTTTATTTATTAAAAGTGGCTATTTTATGGCAGGGAATTGTTCATACTAAGGTATTTTAGATTAATACGTTCATAACTACAATAAAACCAGTTAAAGGATGCCATTGTCTGGTGAAATGGTAGGAGCCCATCACTGTCAGAATTCTGGATTAAATTTCTGAGATCAATGAAGGGCTGTGGCCAGATTTTCTGTGATAATTGAGGATGGTCTTTAAGAGGCTGTTTGTATAAGCTAATACAAAGAAAAGTCAATGAATTGATGAACCAGATTTTCGTTTTCACCCTCACCATGAAAATTTTGTTCTTAGAAAATTGGTGAGGACAGATTTGTAATGTATTTAAGTGGTTAAGATTTTGTTTAATTTGTATGCATTACGCATTGTTTTGTTAAAAGAGTCAGTATGGAGCTATTAATCATCGTGTATTTTGTTGTTGATTTACAACATTTATACCGGTTCACCCAATAGTTGATGTGATTGCATGTATCCTGCTATAGGGTGGTCAACTGTTATAGAAATTTGAGTTTAGTTTTGCTTGATGTGGTTGTGATCCACATTATTTATGGCACTGACAGTTTATGGGTCCTACTTTTGCAGGTTGTTGTCTCTTTTCTCTGATAGTTATAGAACGGAAGAGTCGGATGATATACATGCTGCCTTGGCTTTGATGTATGGTTATGCTGCACGATATGCTCCATCAACAGTTATTGAAGCCAGAATAGATGCCCTTGTTGTATGCTTCTTTTCATTTATCTGTATGACTTTTTGATCTTCTCTCATGTTGCTGTCCTGAAAACTGATAATACAAGGAAATATTGAAAAAAATCTCAGTGTAGAGCTGTCGATCTTTTGTGTATTTTGTTTGGCAATTTACATCATTAATGCTGATTCATAATGTACCCAGTAGTTAATGTCATTGCATGTAGCTTTCTGTAGGTGGTCGTCTAGCACTTTTAAACTTGAAGTTGTAGTTTGTTTCAAATATGTTGTTCATTGTTTGATTAAAAGATCCAAACTCGAGGCATAACTCCCATATCCTTAATCCCTTGAGGTAAAGCCTAAGGGAATGAATATGATGCTGGTATGGAGTTGTATAATCATATAGCTTCTTTAGACAATCTATGAGACATGTCAGGCATTTCTTCTTCTTCACATTTGAGCTATGTCCGTAAGGCTTGACCTTGACGCTGCAATTGATTTTGGTTATGCTACACTGTCCAGAGTGAGGCTATGCAGGGGTTGACACCTAGATCAGCCTATGCTATTTTGCCACAAATTTGCCTCTTTGTTTTATGGTGCAATGTAGTGGAACAGATTCTGACAAGCCTTAACAAACATATAAATATGCTCTGTGTTGTATAATGTCAATGTTATTGCTATAGGGGTAGTTTCCATCTTCTTGTGTAAGTGCTCCTGGTTGATTATGGCTCTCCCAAGATTATTTATTTCCCCTCAATATTCTGCTGTTTTCACTGTTTCACCAGTTGCGTAGCTTTTTAATGGCGAGATTGTTCATTTATTGTTTCTCTCTGTGGTTTTCAGGGGACTAATATGCTTTCACGGCTTCTTCATGTACGCCACCCTACTGCAAAGCAGGCTGTAATAACTGCTATTGATTTACTAGGTTTGTATATGTTAGAAAAGTGTCATAATATATTTGCTGCAATAGATCAACCCCAAATCTTTATGTGCATGTTTCTTGCCCATGCTCTTGGAAGTTTTAAAGGTGCAATTTTGTGTCTCTGTTTTAAGAAACTCAATTAAGTTATGCTTAGGGAAATTATATTATTTTACATGTTTAACGTTCATTACAAACTGAGGATATTTTATTAGTTCTTGACTGGCATTTTTGAATTTAATGTTCCTGCCTGATTTTAATCAATTAGCCTTTTGTATGGGATTTTTGACCAGTAGTCCGTAAAATGGGCTCGAGTATAGGTGTAGATCCCGAGAAACAGACTGGGTTCAAGTAGACCATATGGGTTTAAGAAAGGTTTTGGTTTCTCGTGGCTTGTAGCAAGGTGCTGGGTCTTAAGAATGAGTATTTGAAAGAAGGAAAGACGGGCAGTAGCAGCACCTAACCTTTGATCAGCCCACTTGTACCTGGAATCCATAGACCTAAGATAATATTCAAGCCAATTGGACAAGAACTTAAAATAATAGCTCTCTCTCTCTCTCTCTCTCTCTCTCTCTCTCTCTCTCGGTTTCCATTTTCTTTTGTTTGAAATGGTTAATAAGGTATGAGGATACGCTGCATGTTTATGTTCTATTCTGGACAGCCCACCTTACGTTGTTACTGTAAAATGATTAATTTGACATGTTTCAAAAGGAAATATTGCAAGTTGCTTTAACCATGCACATTATTTATTCTGATACTCAGCCTTGTGGAGGTTTTAGCTTACAGTAATGTATTTATTTATTTTTTCTGTTCTCTTTTACAAGCTTTTGCATATTATTGCTTATGCAGGCCATGCTGTGATTAATGCTGCAGAAAGTGGTGCATCATTCCCTTTAAAAAAAAGAGACCAATTGCTTGACTATATTTTAACTCTGATGGGGAGAGATGACGATGGTTTTGTTGATTCCAGTCTTGAGCTTCTGCGTACCCAGGTTATAATAATTGCTTTGGAACTACTGCATTGAAATGGGAACATATCTTCTTCCTGTCAGATAATTTTCTAATCCTAATAGATTATTTTTTTATTCCTTTTCTTTTCATGGTTGTTTCTACAGGCCCTGGCTTTAAGTGCCTGTACTACCTTGGTCTCTGTGGAGCCAAAGCTGGCAATAGAAACAAGAAATTATATTATGAAGGTACATATGGTATTTTGTGGTTGTTGTACAGTAGTAGCAATATGCTTTTGGATTCTATGTTCTCTAAAAAAAAAAAAAAAAAAAAATTGATACAGGCAACCTTGGGGTTCTTTGCTTTGCCTAATGAGCCTGTGGATGTTGTCAATCCTCTCATAGACAACCTTATCACTCTCTTATGTGCAATTCTTCTTACAAGGTATTGTTTAGTCATGATTTGTTTTTAATTAATATTTTTATTGAACGTGAGTATTTCTTTTATATACAATTACGGTTTAACTGCGTGTTGATCTGAAAGAAACCTGATATGCAGAGGATGCTGTCAAGTTTGAGTTCAGACTTAAACATTTTGGTTTATGTATGGCATTCCTTGCTTTAAAGACGATTGGAAAAATAAGCACGGCTGTAAGAATTAGAAGATGAAAACATGAACTATTTTATTATACAGACCATCTGCATAAAACTGATAGGTTACAATTATCTAGTGGATGAGGCTGTATTAGTATTCCTACTCACCTTGCAGTTTTGGTATGAAAATTAGCGGAGAGGATGGAAGAAGCCGATCAGAGCAGCTATTGCACATTTTGAGACATATTGATCAATATGTTTCTTCCCCTATGGAGCATCAAAGAAGAAGAGGTTGTGTTGCAGTTTATGAGATGCTTCTCAAGTTTCGAATGCTTTGCATCAGTGGATATTGTGCCATAGGTTGCCATGGAAGTTGCACTCACAGCAAACAAATTGATCGTACTCTTCATGGCAGTTTTTCCAATTTACCTTGTAATAACATTTCCCAAAAATGATTTAAATTCTTACTGTCTATTATTGACCTTACACAATTTCTTTTGTCCTACTACCAGCTGCATTTGTGTTGCCAAGTCGTGAAGCCCTCTGTTTGGGTGAGAGGGTCATTAAGTATCTTCCACGTTGTGCAGACACTAATTCTGAAGTTAGAAAAGTTTCTGCACAGGTATGGAATTGGATGTAGTTGTTTATGGAGTCAGCTGTGTTAATACACTCCAGATATGCCTATAATGGTTTGAAGGTTTATGGAGGGTTGTGACGGTGAAAATTATCATGTTAAATATTTACTTGATTATGAATTAACACCTCACATTTTACCTTTTTTGCAGATTCTTGATCAACTGTTCAGCCTCTCTCTTTCACTTCCAAAGCCTGCAGGTTTTAGTCTAAGTGTGGATATAGAATTGTCCTACAATGCCTTGTCCTCTCTTGAGGATGTTATAGCTATTTTGAGAAGTGTAAGCTTCATTCATTCACTTATTTTTAGCAAGACTTTTGTTTGAAGCAGTGAAAGGGAAAATGTAAGACCATCTCAATCGTTTGATTTTCTTCTGTTATATACTCAGGATGCTTCCATTGATCCATCAGAAGTTTTTAACAGAATCGTGTCCTCTATCTGTCTTTTATTGACGAAGGATGAGGTAGGGTTATTTATGTTCTTAGAGAATTGTACATTAGCATGATCTGACTTGTGGGAGGATAATCCTTTTTTTTTTTTTTTAAATTATTATTATTATTATTATTTTGCAGCTTGTAGCCACCCTGCAAGGCTGCCCAGCAGCTATATGCGATAAGATCAAGCCGTCAGCTGAAGGGGCTATACAAGCTGTTATAGAGTTTGTTACAAAAAGGGGGAGAGAGTTAAGTGAAACTGATGTTTCAAGGTCTGTCACAAAATTACAGAATTCTTACTTAATGCCAGCTTGAGCAATCTTGTACTGCCTTGTATTCCCCTCTGCTGTTCTAACTTTCTTCATGGGACTTGTAATTGTTGTTTTCACATGCATATACCATGTGAGCTTTGAGTACCAAAAAAATATTCTTACATTAAACATGTCTGCAGGACAGCCCAATCACTGCTCTCTGCTGTGGTTCATGTCGCTGAGAAGCATTTGCGTTTGGAAACTCTCGGAACTGTATCCTTTATTTTTTATATTTTTGTATAATTTTAGTAAGCTATTTACTATAAAGAAGTGTCAGTCTTTACTGTGGTGTGTGCTTGTATTTATGCAGCTCTCTTGTTTGCTCTTCAGAGTTTCATTGTCATCCTCAGCTCTGTTTTTTTTTCCGCCCACTTAATTCCTGAACTGTCTAAAGATTGCTGCTCTAGCTGAAAGTACGAGTTCAACTATTGTTTTTGATGAAGTATTGGCCACAGCTGGAAGGGATGTAGTCACAAAGGATATATCTAGACTACGAGGTGGCTGGCCAATGCAGGATGCATTCTATGTGAGTACTTAATTTTAATTTACGAGATTGATTTATCTCCTTAGGATGGCTTTATTTTTATTATTCTTTTTTTCCCTCCTATTTGAAGGTCCTGTAATGCAGTATATCATTAACCTGGTATGAGTACTTGTATGATGCCCAGTACAAGTACTTGGGTGATGCTTGGTTAATTTCCACTGCAACTTCAGATAGTGATAGTTAGTCATTGTTTGATAAACTATCCATTTGCTATTAATTGGAATCTTTTGCTTTGAGGAATTGGGAATTCGGAAATGTTACGCCATGATTTCTGGCTCCCTTTTCTTCTGATAGAAAACTGGAAATCTTCATTAAAAAAAAGGGGGAAAAAAAACACAGAAAGAAAGGGCTGCTAATAAATTTTACAAATGGTTTCATTGGTCCTTTTTATATGATGTAACTTTTGTCCCTGTGTGATTGTGGGCTTGCCTGTCTCTGTGTGAATTATCCATGTCATGCTTGAATTTTTTTTTTTTCAACAATTTGAATGCAAAACTTACATGCATTGATCCCTCTATTAAATTGTGCTTTCTGATTTTTTTGCAGGCCTTTTCTCAGCACACAGTTCTTTCTTTTCGATTCCTGGAGCATCTGATCTCATGCCTGAACCAGACTCCTGTAGTTAAGGGTGATTTGGAGAAGGGAGACAACTCTAGCCATTTACATGATGGTCAGATAGAGGATGACATTCTGCAAGCTGCTATGATTGCTCTCACTGCCTTTTTCAGGTTTGTATATTTAGTTCCATTTGTCAGACATGGCCTTTTGAATGGTACATAATTCTGCATTTTTTTATTTTAATCACAGAGGTGGTGGTAAAGTTGGAAAGAAAGCAGTAGAGCAAAGCTACGCCTCTGTCGTTGCTGCACTCACACTCCAATTGGGAAGTTGTCACGGTCTGGCTAATTCTGGTCAGCATGAGCCACTGCGGTCAGTGTCTAATATATATTCTATGTTTTGGCTGAATATTTCCATTCATTGTGCTTCAATGTTCAGTGGTTCACACATGTCTACATGTTTAAATGGTTATCAATTTTCGTTTCTTTTCAGAGCTCTTCTAACAGCATTTCAAGCCTTTTGTGAGTGTGTCGGAGACCTTGAAATGGGAAAGGTATGTATACATTAGATGCCGTTACAACTTTTCCTCTGCAATAATAGAGATTTCCAGTTTTGGTTTAGCAATGTGAAATAAATCAAGAAAAAAACTACATATTGTCTGTAGATTTTGGCTAGAGATGGGGAGCAAAATGAAAAGGAGAAGTGGATCAATCTTATTGGAGAATTAGCCTGCAGCATATCTATAAAGAGGCCAAAAGAAGTAATTTGATAATCCTCTTTTTGTACTACCTTTTCCATTGTTTTGCTTATTTTTATTCTTTTACTTCTCTTTTCTTTTATTCACTATTTTTTCCTCGGTTTTCAGAATACGAGGAATGGAAAAACTCATAACAAGCAAAAGATACGATGCATTAGAACACAATGATAATTTGAGTCAATGATGGAAAAAATAAGAAATCCAATTATTCATGTTTTTTGATTCTCTGAACAACTTTCATACGGGATGAGGTAAAACATATATCTGATATAAACTAAGTATGTTTAGGAGTTGCTTTGTTTGGCAATATAACCTAAAAGGGAGTTTTATTTAGGAGAAGGATATTATGTAATATAATGAACAACGTCAGGAATTCCTCCTGCCCAACACATGGCAATCTCTTGGACTGCCATGTCTTGGATTACGTTCATTATTTTACAGATATATTTGATATCAAAATCAATTGTGTATAATAAAAAAGGTAAGTTTCCTTAAGAAAAGTGTTTTGTTGACAAAAAAATAAATAGCTATTAATGCTACCCAGATGGTGGCTGGAGAGACTGATATGCGTTGGGCTGGAGGAAGGAAATTTTTGTTCTTATATTTGGTAAACATGGGTTTGAGCTAGATATATCTGTCAACCTTTGATCAGGTTGCTGAACTAGTAAGCTTTGTGCATATTACAAAAGCTGTCAAATTTAGTTAAAAATATTCAATATATGTCAGAAATATGTTCAAGTGCAACGTAATGCAAACTTTTCTTGAAGTATTAGGAACCAGATTGTCATGCTCAGGATTGTTCCATGGTTGCTTTGCCAAATATTTGATCTGACTTTTATGAATGCATTTTGGTAGTTCTACTCTTCCTGTGACTTTGTTGATGCATTTGTGATATCTTCAGAGTTTGTTCTTTTGTAACTTATTCAGGTCCAAGCTATTTGTGTAATTTTAACAAAATCTTTAAACCAACAACAAAAATTTCAAAGGGAAGCTGCAGCTGCGGCATTGTCAGAGTTTGTCCGTTACAGGTATGCCTTCAATATCTAACTTTAAAGGGTGGTCTGTCCTCCGCTTCTCTTACTGCTGAACTGTTTCTTTACTTTGTACACATTGTGTATCTTTAGGTTAATTAGCATTATCCTTCTAATTGCTATTGCTTCAATGTCTCAATTATCTTTGGTTTATTGTATCAAAAAATTGCGAACTTTATACTTTTTAATTATATTAGCTCGTTCTTTCAATGTTGGATAGAAAATACATAAACTAAACTTCTAATAACCATATTAGCATGCCTGAATTTTTTCAGCTTAAATTTCGTTTTCAGCTAACGTGGCATGGGCGATAGGATTACAGCTAGACATAAATGCCACGTAGGATTTCACGGGTTTATATGACAAATTTACTCCCCAAAATGAACTACATGTCAATCAAACACAAGCCCAATTGAATTCCTAAAAATCCCCAATCCTTCTCCTTGCAAAACCCAAACTCAAATCCAGTTTCCCATCTCCTATCCATCAATTTGCCCGAATTTTGTCTGGTACGTCTTCATACAAATTTGACATTAAGCAAGAAGGCAAGCATTAGATCTGCCTTTATTTTTACCCAATTCCAAACCCAGGCCAAAACTTGATGTCTGTGTTGATTACATAGCCACAGATGATTTTGTACTCTTGAACAATTTCAAATTCAAGAACTATAATGGTTCTTATATGTTCAAGGAGTATGCAGTCAATGTAACTTCTGATACTTTGACACTTTCCTTCATTCCTTAAAACAATTATATCATATTTGTTAGTGCAATCGAAGTTGTTTCCATCCCTGATGGAGTACTTCCAGACCAGGCAGTAACTATAAATCCATCTACCCCTTTTAGTGGTCTTTTGGAACTTGCCTTCAAAACTGTATTTTGGTTAAACACGAGAGGTCTTTTGATCACTGTTGAAAATGGTACTTTTGGAAGAATTTGGGAGAACGATGCCAAATACCTCCATGTGAACAATTCTGCATTGAATGTTTCAGTTAACCCTGCCTTTATGCTGTAACTACTGAAATAGCACCAAATTTGGTTTATGCTTCCTCTGATGTAATGGGAGATGCAAATGTAGCCAACATGCACTTAAACATAACTTGGGCGTTCTATGTTAATCAAAACATCAGCTATTTCATTCAGGTACATTTCTGTGATTGTGAGTAAGGCTCTGAACAATCTTGTATTCAATTTGTACATAAATGATGATATTGTCGTTGAGAGTCTTGACATCTCACAATTTACTGGTGGCTTGAACATACCTTATTACAGAGACTTTGTCTCCAACACATCAGTAGATTTAGGGAGGGGTTGAGGTTCGTTGAGGGAATGAAGAAGACTGGGTTTGAGTTTGCGGCGACAGAGAGAGAGAGATCAGGGTTTGTGGCTGCAGAGGGAGAGGTTGGAGTTCGTCAAGGGATTGAAGAAGATTGGGCTTGGGTTTTGCAGTGAGAAGGATTAGGGATTTTTAAAAGTTCAATTGGGTTTGTATTTAATTGACATGTAGTTCATTTAGGGGGAGTAAATTTGTCATATTAGCCACGTGGAATCTTACATGGTATTTATGTCTTGCTGTCATCCTATCTCCCATGCCACATCAGCTGAAAACGGAATTTAAGCTGGAAACATTCATGTGCACTAATATGGTTACCAAAAGCTTAGTTCATATATTTACTCTCCAACATTGAAAGAACATGCTAATATGATTAAAAAGTATAAAGTTTGTGATTTTTTGGTACAATGAGCCATTATCCTTTTAGGTTCATGATATCCTTAAGGTGAAACATCCAAGCAGTAACAGGTTCATTGTTGATAAAGTAACTTTCAGGGGCATATAACTTTCCTAAACTTTGGAGGAATTTTCTTTTTATTCTTTTATTTAATTTTATAACATAAAGGAAATCTTGTGTTCTTTTTAACATTTGTTTCACCTTACCAAAAAGCAGCCCAAGTGCTATATTTATTTATTTTATGCCTTTCCTGCTGCCAATTCCATGGAATTGATGCTTTGAAGTGATAGAGCAAGCAATGCATATCAGCATCTCCTCATTTTGTAATGTAAGCTAAATGCAGCCCACATTTGGTTTGCTGCAAGCAACCATGATCTTTTCCAGATGCAAATCAATAGTAATACTCCAAGTTTGCTAATTTGAATACAAATTCTGGTTCTTGTTTTTTATGATTTTATTTTACTCGGCTGAAGTTTTGTTGTTAAGGTTTACACATCTTATTGTTAAATATCATGTTCATTTTGTATGTTTTTGATGTAGTGGGGGGTTTAATTCCCTGTTGGAGCAGATGGTTGAAGCATTGTGTCGGCATGTTTCAGATGAATCTCCAACAGTTAGGCGTCTTTGTTTAAGAGGACTTGTACAGGTATTCTTTATTGAGATTTATACGGTCTCTATTTTTTTTTTAATCATGTGCGATAATGCATACAAATGGAGCTCAAGAAAAATCGGTTTTAAAAGTATGATACTACTGGCATTTTCTTAAACATTAGCATAGAATTGTTTATGCAAGAATTCTTCTAGCTTGTTTTAAAAAAGGTGTTCTTGGTTTGCTTTTTTCTTTATTATTAGAATGAGCAACTTCAAATATTTTATTTAAGTGTATAATTTTTGTGCATGTTAAAGTTTAAATACACTAATGGGCTTCCAAAAAAAGTCCTAGATAATCACATATTTTTCACATTTAAGGATTAAATATTTATACACGGTCCCCATTACTTTATGCCTTCTGATTGGATTTTTTTTTGAAATATCTCTCTTTTTGGTATGTGGCAGATACCATCTATTCATATTTATGAGCACACAAATCAAATTCTGGGCATAATAGTAGCGTTGCTTGATGATTTGGATGAATCCGTACAATTAACTTCAGTTTCATGCTTACTGATGGTGATTTACCCACTATCCCTGATTTGCTTATGTTACATTTGCTTTCTGATTGCACATGTTTTCCTCACTTTTTTTCATTCTCCTTTTGCATATCTCAGATTCTTGAATCATCCCGTGATGATGCAGTAGAGCCCATTCTGCCCAATCTTTCTGTCCGGCTCCGCAATCTTCAAGTGAGTTTGGTGCTTTTTACATCTTTTCTTATAGAAATTATATTCATTTTTTTGGCATTCCCTTTCCTTGTTGCTAAAATTAAGATTTATGGAACCATATGCTCCCGAATGCACAGAATTGAATTAAATCATGTGATTCCTATTTGCATTGTTTGACTTATTGGTAAGTAAATCAGATAAATTACGTTTTATTCCTAGTGGGCATCGAAGGGTTTCCATTTAGCTTGCCTGAAAGTACAGTTTGTACAGTGGAAAAGTATCTGTAGTCTTGATGTCTTTATTCTCTACTCTTTTGGTCCTATAAGTAGTGAGTTTTCTGCAGTAATTAGTCTCTTAAAAAAAAAAAAAAAAATCTATCCCCTTAATTCAAAAGGGTTCAAACTTGTTTTGGAGGGAAGATGAATGAATGCAACATATAATCATGACAAAAACGGCAATACAAAGATGATGACTTCTCAAAGACAATAGAAATGTTTATATCTTCATGTCATTGATTTAGAACTGCGTACAAGAATGAAAAGCAGAACATGCCAGTGTTATGAATTTTTTGCTGCATAAACTATGAAATAGCTGACAATGTACATTGATTTATTTATGAACCAGTGAAGTACTTTCTATGAGTAGCAGAGGTGATTGAACTTGAATATGGTTCATCGACTAACCATTTCCTTGTGAAGAGCATTGTTGCATTTTTTTTTAACTTTAATTGTATATCTAGTTCAGGACAGTTTTTCTGTTGATTAAAAGGCTATAAGGTTTCCTATATTTATATTTTATGGTTGTTTATCTACTCTTGCTGTAGTCATGAAACCATCTCATATAGATGATGCTTCTCGTTAGAGAACTCTGATTTGTAGATCCATGCACTGTTGTTTCTTGGGTTAAAACAGATATCCATGGATGTGAAGATGCGAGCCAATGCCTTTGCAGCATTTGGAGCCCTGAGTAAATATGGTGTTGGGGCACAACGTGAAATATTTCTTGAGCAGGTATCTTATGGACACTGGTCCTAAAATTGTGGTCAGTTAATCAATATATGAATTATTTTGAAAGTGCCACATGTTATTACTATGGCAGGAAAACTGTATCTCATTCTTTACTTATCTTTCTGCTCATTAAGGAAGCGTTGGGTCATTCTTGTTTTATTTTAATTTATTATAAAATGTACTCAACAATTTGGAAGCAACTGAGTTTATGAGGATGATTACCTATGTTTACTTTTCTTCTTGAATTGTTAATAATTGGGTTAGGTGGGGTGGAGAGGGTGGGATACTTTAGAAAGACTTGAGTGTGTCAAGGCTGCCTTGTTCGTGCAAGATTTTATGACATTTAAAGCAAGCATAACACAATGCTTACATAACTTGGGATATTACCATTTTTTGCGTCAATATTTGTTTAACAATCTACCAAGCCATGCTCCCTTCTCTTAATATTTCTCTTTTTTTCCCCCCATTTGTTTTTTGAATGGGACTATGGAAGCATTACTGGTTAATGGTTCTTTTGTGCATTCTCTTCTTGTAACCAATACTCGACCAGTATTTCTTTGTGTCATGTCTTTGGATTGTTTATTCACTTAATGTTGTGCTAAAAAATGTATTTTGATTTGTTTGTTTTTATTCTGTTGAGCATGCTAATTTAGGTTAGATTACTTTTTGCAGATACATGCTGCGATTCCTCGCCTGGTTTTGCACCTTCATGATGACAATCTTAGTGTGAGACAGGCTTGCCGAGTGAGTGATTTCCTAGCATCTGACTTTCATTTCTGCATCAAGCTGTTTTACAAAATTTTTTGACTGGATTAATGTTTAATGAATAGAACACACTGAAAAGGATTGCCCCCTTGATGGAGATGGAAGAATCAGCTGTTCTATTCAACTCGAACTGTTTTACTTCTGATCACCGGTATGCAGTTATTAATCGTAAAAACTAAAGTTTCTGAAAAAGCATTGGTGTGATCTGTGTTCCTCATTGATGTTCAAAAATTTGTTCAGAAGTGACTATGAGGACTTTGTAAGAGATCTTACAAAGCAGTTTGTTCAACATCTTCCTTCCAGAGTTGATACTTACATGGCATCAACCATACAGGTGTACATCTTGCTAAGAAATTATATCAATTTTTTTTTTTTAATTTCCAAACATTTTTTTAGTGATTATATTACATTCTTGATGTTGCAGGCTTTTGATGCACCTTGGCCAATAATACAGGCTAACGCTATATACTTGGTCAGCTGCTTGGTATCACTTTCCGATGATCAGCGCATTTTAGCCCTTTACCAAACACAGGTCCTTTTCGGAAAGTCCTCCAGTTTGACCTTTTCGGCTAAAAAAAATAAAAATGTAATGTACTTACAAAAGATTTTATCATCATTTAGGTGTTTGGTATGTTGGTGGGGAAGATGAGTCGATCACCAGATGCAATTGTGCGAGCTACATGCTTTTCAGCGCTGGGCCTATTACTAAAATCAACTAATTCTCTGTCATGGAGAACAGCTCGACTAGATTTGAAGGGATTCTGATTTGAGCATAAGGTAGGATTGGACAAAGGATACATGAAAACGATTGATCACTGAGTGTCAGAAAGCTGGCCTCCTTTCATGCAAGTTGATTGAATCTACAAGATGGCCGCTATTTTAAAGTTAATGATGGCAAGGCTGAAGGCAGGCAAGATAAAGCAAGCAGGATAGACACTCATCTTTGCCAAGTAATTGTGTACATGGTTAGGTGTAATTTATATTTGTAAAGCTTCCAGTTGCAGCTTTGTAAGCCAACGGTTGTATTTTTACGGCCTGTTTGTTGTATAAGATTTTAAATTGTAAAAAGACTGGTATGCCTCAGAATGTTTGCTTGTAGATGCTTGTACTATAGCCGTAACCCATCCTTGTAACGTTGCAGCAAGACACAGATAGTATGTGGAAGCTACAGCTCCAAAAGTTTTGCCTGAAAGAACACATAATTGGAAGTTTGATGTATTTGCCGAGTTTGGCTGGGTTTTTTATTTTTATTTATTTTTATTGTTCTCATTCAATTGCTAATAAATATTGTTTCGGTTTGCCATGGCCGCGAGATTAAAATTTTAGGTTGGTGCTCTCAAATCCCACTTTCGATTATAAAGCATCAGCTGGTAATTGGAAGTGAGCAACTCTTTAATGGCACTGCTCTAGGGTATGTAAAGCCTTCTTTCCAAGTAAATAAAGGATGGTGTCCATAATGAATGGATTCAAGCGTTGTTCTGATTTGACCCGAGTTGACAGTGTGTGGTTTTTCTCATCGGTTGTTCCGGCCTTCCAATGTTATACATTTAGAATCTTCTTCGGCCATGTTTACAATTAGATTTGTCTTATGAGAGTTATTTAGAAATAGAAACTCCTTAAAATTTAAGGAAGGTGTTTTTTTTTTTTTTAATTATTGTTGAGGTTGTCGGTAACTTCCTTTTTTTTTGGATAACAGTTTTATCTAGAAATTCGTATTTATGTTGCGCTTAGGATGGAGAAATGTTAAAGGGGTAAGATTTTGATATGAAATCTTGAAGGTGTAAAAGGTATTAAGATGTCTCGTAAAAATGGAAAAATTTATTTGTAATGGTGGGTTTCAATACAAATCAAATCATGTTTTAAATTAAATAAAACTATAAAAAGATAATAAATGATAGAACTATATTTGTCAACTAAAACGAGAAGCGGAAGAGAAAAAAGGTTAAGAGCATTTTGGTCCATGCTCTGTTGTATTGTGTTGTGAGATTAAACGCACTTATGCTAAGTTGTGAGTAAAATTACTTAATTGTTTGACAACTGATTACTATATTATTTGAATTAAAATTGTCATAAGGACTTAAATTAAAGATTTTTTTTTAAAAAAACTGAATCTTATAATAAATGAATTATATCCTTAGAAAACACAGAAATATCACAAACAACACAAGTATAAAAAATAAAATCAAAACATTACATGATTTTAAATATAACTACTAGGTAATTTAATTGGGGTAAATTATAAAAAAACACCATGTAATTAGATGATGAGAACACTCTACTCTTATTTTTCAAAAATTATATTTTACATCCTATGATTTTAATATTTGTTTTAGAAAACATCATGTATTATAATTCTGTTTACAATATCAAAATTTCAAGTTAAAAAAACCTAAATCATTATAAATTTGTCATTATGTTTTTATAAGGATATTGTTGTTATTTTATATTTTAAATGCCTGAAATTTCATCCTAAAAAGTTCAATATGTAAAGTATAATGTTTGAAAAACAGAAGTGTAGAATGTTTATGCCATCTAACTATAGAATGTTTTTCATGATTTATCCATTTAATTAAGAAACGTAATAGTACAGTGTGTGAGTTAGGAAAAGAAGAAACAAAAATCAAAACATTACATGATTTTTTTTAAAAGCAAATAGAACTACTAAATAATTTAATTAAGAAACATAAAAGTAGTGTACGTATGTATATTAGGTAAACTACACCATAGGTATTTTTGTAATTTTAAAATATATAAAGATTTTTTTTATTTGTTTTAAATAAAATAAGCAATCTTTCATCTATAAAAAAACATTAGCTTCCATGATTTTTTAAAGTGGAAAGTAATATATCTTTAACTTGCTCAGATAAACATCACAATCCATACATAATCATCTAAAAAATCATGTGTTGATTTTGACAATTTTTTGTAACATCTAGTCGGTAGAACAAAATCATTTCAAAATTTTATAATTTTTATTTAATTAATATTTTCAAATATTTTCATAAATTTTCTAATTAAAAAAAACATAATTCATTCTTCTTTATGGATTGATTTTTAAATAAAAATTTTTAATAATTTAAACTAAAATATTAATCAAGGATTAAAAAAATTTAAATATATTTTTCACAATATTGTATCTCAAAAATAAAGCTATGACTAATTGATAGACTTACATGAAAATTGACAATGAAAAAAAGAGAAAATTTTTATTTTTATTTAATATTGATGAGAATATTTTTTTTTTTTTTTTTTAAGTTATTTGTGTTACGCTATGGGTTGGATAGAATAAAATCATTTCAAAATTTTATAATTTTTTTTAAAATTTTATTTAATTTTTATGTTTTTCATAACATTTAAACTTCAAAAAATATGATTTATTCTTCTTTATTTATTAATTAAAAAAACACTTGTGATAATTTAAACTAAAATATTAATTAATAATTCAAAAATAAATATTTTTAAAAGAATGTCTCCAAAAAAAAAATTATAATTAATTTATAGACTTGAATAAAAATGAACTAATAAAAAAATAATTTTTTATTCTTATTTAATGTTGATAAGAAGATTATTTTTTGAAAGTATATGCATTTGATCTATATATATTTATTTGTTAAATAATCAATAATGTTAGCATAAAAAGCTGTATTTGAATAATTGCTTGGTTCCTTTAAAAAACTATTTTAACTATTTTATTTCAAAGAAATTGATTTTATAATGTTTTAAAAAATATTCATAGCAAATAATTTGTCTTATGTATGAAGATGTATAGTTAATTTTTAATAAAATCGATGATTCAATAGTTTTTTTTATACGTCCCGACTATGTTTAGTAAACTAAGAAAAATTATTTGAAATAAATTTTTAATCTATATATATATATATATATATATATATATATATATATATATATATATATATATATATATAATCATGTTTTAAAATTTTATTCTAAAACTCAAACATAGAGAAAAATAAATTATATTTATCAATAAATAAAATTTTACATAAAAAAATATTAATTCAATGAAAATTTTGCATAAGAAATGATAAATTCAAAGAATAAATTTTAAATAATAAGAGTAATATAAGCTGAAATTTATATTAATTTTAAAATATAAAAATATAGTATATATATTTTATCCTCGCTACGCTATGTAAAAACACAAATAATAATGTTTGATGTTTCATAATTTTTGTCTAAAAATTCTTAATTTAAAAAAATCAAAGAAAAGAAAAAAGAATAAAAAATGACAAGAACTAGGCTAGTGCACTTGGACCTGAAGAACTTGGCCTGCACGCTTGGGCATGAAGCACCAAGCCGAGTGCTTGGGCTTGGAAAAAAAATTATGCTTTGAATTTCCAGCAACCTCTGTAATTTTTCACAACTTCGATTTTGTAAAAAATCTTCGGAAAGTCGGGTTTTTAATTTAGGCTTTTTAAAACAAAATTCAACTTTACTTTTGTCCAAAAACATCTTAAAATCATAGAAATAATATAAAAAAACTCTTTTAGAACCTCAAAAACTATTTTAATGCACAAAAATATACAAAATTTTGAATCAAAATAAAAAAAACTCAAAATATTTTTGGATCCCGATTTACCTCCTCCGACTATTTCATTGCTTGCCATCACCACAAATGAATTCTACTCATTGAGATGGTCAAAATGATGGTAAGATTAACAACCTTCGGGGTGCTAGAATGGGCATTGTTGCCTCTCTCTCTCTCTCTCTCTCTCTTACATATCTCGTACATTTTTTACATGTAGGGACCAAAATGAACAAAAAATAAAGTTAGATAAAAAAAATTTAAAAATGGGAACCAAAGTATACATTTTCGGGCAAACAATAACAAGCATAGTAAATAAATAGTGATTTTAAAGACAATGTACATTAAATAAATAGTAAAAATAGAGAGAGTTGCACAAAGTGCAATACACGTCTTCTTCTTTCTTTTTTTTTTTTTTTAATAATAATAATGGACCGACGTAAGAAATTCATGGTTGCCGGTGCAATGATAGGTGATTAAATGTGATGCAACACATGTATTCATGTATAGAATTCACTAGTTTTTTTGCCCGCGTTATGTCGCAGAGTTGAATAAAATATATAAAAATTATTTAGAAAATTATTTCAGTTTGATTTTCTGTTTTATGGTGTGAATCCATATAAATAGATGAAATCAAAGGTGTAAAAAATTATTTAATCAAAAATTTTATATTTAACTATTTCTTATTTGTGTTTTTCATAATTTTTCCTTTATAAAGAGGATTCATCCTTATTAATCTATGGATTATTAACTAAAAAAAGTATTTTTTTTAAAAAAAGCTTTAATATTTCATAAGATTGTGTCGAAAAACATAAATAACAAGTATTAAAAGCTTACATAGAATCGAACAAATAAATTTTTTTAATTTAATGTCGATGAGAATATCGATTTTGAAAAAATATGAAGTTAATTTTATATATTTATTTACAAAAGAATGAATAATTTTAAAATAAAAAAACTATATTAATTTGAATCAATGAGTGGTTAAGAAAAAAATATTATTTTAATTATTTAATTTAAAATAAGTTAATTTTAAAATATTCATAAATAAATAAATAAATAGTAAATGCTTAGTGTAGTAGTAGTTGCACAGTTGATTTCTAAAAACATAACCGTTCAATATTTTTTTTATACATCATAACTATACTAAGCGAGTTTAGAGTTTTCAGTCTAAAACAAAAAATATTATAAAAAGTTAAATTGTAGGGAATATATTGAC